CAGGTGTGTGGCAAGGATCTGAGGTGTGGCCGGTCCTGCAGCAGGGCCACACCCATCTGGCCTGCAGGTGCCTGTCATCCATCCTACAACCACACACGCAGGCACACACATATATACACACACCCAGACACCCTGCCTACACATACAATAAGTGGAACACAAGCATGACAGCATCGTGCAAAGGACATACAAATCACAAAATAATTATAATAATTATAATAATTATAGTCCACATTGCTCATGGACCCCGAGTCCCCGGAACTGGGTCCGTGACAAAAACAGGTGAAGAAGCTAAAATTTCTGCTGAAGATAAGTGAAAAAGCTGAAGTCCATATTAGAAAACTTGCTGAAATAAAATACTAATGATAATAAAATGATAAAAACTTTGCAGAATTGTAATACTTCTGCCGAGATATTGAACAAGCAACACAGTCAGCTGAAAGAAACTGCACAAGCCGAAATTCCGTCAACTTAAACTGTTTGCTGAAAACATGCTGCCGTAGGCAAGATTCAAAACTGGCCCTCCCAGTCTCAGATCGACAGCTCATCTCACTGAACCAAAGCAAGGCTCATGCCGAGGACCTTCACTAGCTACCACACTTATGCTGTTCTCTATTCATTTCAATTGGCCAAAGAATTGCAGAAAAAAAGCTTAATATTTCAGAAAGTATAAAAGTTATGAGCACCAAAAGATATAGCAGGCATTAGCAAAAAGAGCAGAACAGTTTAAAATTTGAATGGTGAAAATCAGAGTAGTTAACCCGCAAAGAAACGGATCAACTAGAATAATAAGGTAGAAGAAAGAATAAAGTGAAACAGGATCTCAACAGTATGAGATCCTGCCTCATGGCATTAACACAACTACTGTGTCGTAACTCTAACACAAACACTTAAGATTATCTATCATCCTGAAACACACAAACACACCCTCTATCAAACCACCCATCCACTGTGACTCTGTAAAAGTCCAAAGTCCATTCAATGTCGATATACTTACATCCTCCCTTTTCATTAAGTAGAAAGAAAATCTTTTAGACATTTACAGTCATTGTGAGAAGACGTGGCGCAGCAACTGACTCAGCTGTTTGTCTGTATCTCCTTAAGGATCCAGTCACTATTCCCTATGGGAAGAGCTACTGCATGAGCTGTATCAAAACTACTGGGATGAGAAGGAAACACATACACATGCCCTCAGTGCATTCAGATTTTCACAAAGAGATCCTTCCTGGTGAAACACACCATGGCTTTGGCTTCCACAAAGTGCTGGACACACTAGTTAGTTGTGTGAGTTCAAATAGACAGGAGAGCGTAAATTGTGATTTTTAATCTCTGTATACTGCCATGCAGTTGTTAGAGTGTGTTCGTCTACACTGCATCTATTAAAGATTAAACTTTAGATTTTATCTTTGTTTCTGTTGGCAAACAGCTGTTGTTTATTTAAAATAAATAATTTCTTTTGTTACCAAGATATCAATTTAAATGTAAAAATAACAATTTTTTTGTGACAGCATGTCACGATCCTGGGTCTTATGACCCAGTGTTTTGAGTTTTAGTTCATTTTGATGTTTATAGTATGTTTAAGCTCATTAGGTCTCCTATGTTCATTTGCTTATTAGTTCCCCCTTGTGTTTCCAACCCATGTTAAGTCTCCCCTGCTCTTCATGTGTTTCATGTCTGTGTCTTACGTTGACAAGTTCTGGTTGTCATGTCTGCTTCTCATTATGTTTCCTATTTTATTTTGAAGAGATCTCGTGTTTTTATATTATGGATTATGTTTTGAGTCCTTTGTTGTACTGTTTCTTGTTTCCCTAGGTCTCAGTTATGGTTATCATAGGTTTAGTTCTTTGGCTTTGTAATATGGCTTCCCTGTGTTCTATGTTGTGTCTACTGTGACGTTTTTGTACCATGTTTCAGGTTCCTATGTTCTGTCTCCCCAGTTGCTGTTAAGTTTACATGTCTAGAGTTCAGTCAGTGTGTTTCCTGTTTTACTTTGAAGGTCCGTGTCTCATGTCAGTGTTTCTAGAATTGCTTCGCTTGTCTCGTCCAGCCTGATTACTCCCAGCTGTGCTCTCCTTCTGTGTCTTGTTCTCTCATTATCCCTCTGTGTATTTGAGCCCTGTGTTTCTCTTTGTCAGTGTCGTAGTCTCCCTCATGGCTGTGTTTCCCTGTGTGTTAGTTATCCATGTCCCAGTTTAATTTTCCATGCCGTTCTGCAATAAAGCAGCTTTTTGAGTTTAATTTCGTTGTCGTGAGTTTTGCGTTTGGGTCCTTCTCCTGCCTGTACACAGCCGAAACATGACACAGCAGCAGGAAAATGTATTTACTGCATGTTCTCAACATACACTCAACAAAAATATAAACGCAACACCTTTGTTACTGCTCCCATTCCCCATGGGATGGACGTAGAGAC